CAAACTTTGTTTTCTGATCTTCAATTTTTTAAGTTATTTAAAGTTAGATTAGGTAAAATAAATAATATAATATACATTTTTCACGAGATACGCTCGCATGTAGCTCGCGCGTAATGTAATTCGAGAGCATAGCATAAGTCACACGTTCGCCAGTTATTTATGACTTACTGGCCTCACTAGTGGTTAGACATGGTTCACAGGGCAATAAAACAATAACATTTAAGTATAAATAGATGTATACTGTTACCAGTTTATAATTATTTTGGATAAACAAATGTAGTTTCATGTTACAATTTGAAGTGATTCTAAAAAGAAAAAAGGAGTAATTTAGTTTTATTTAGATTTTTTTTGTGGTTACGAGGTCGGTCAAACTGACCAGCTCTGTATAGAATTAGGGTAGAGGAAACAACAGAAATATGAAGTTTTACATATAAAAATGTTTGAAATTTATTTAGGAAGGTTTAAAGATTACACAATTGAAATTTGAGACTTTTGAGACGAAGAAAAGTATTTTTAATCTTAACATGAATATTACTTTGCACTCGGGCTAGTAAAAAAGACTATGTATATTCATGGACAAGTCTTTAATAAAAATACTTCATTAAAAAACTGATTTTTTATGTACGAACGAGTTGTAATGTTTACTAAAAGTCTGCTAAATTTTGTGCAGATACACTTACTGTATTAAAAGTTATAGTATCAAAAATATATACTGGTACAAAATAGTCACGTGGTCGGTCCCTGGGATAGAGCCGGTATTGGGAGAGTTAACTAATGATAGGCGAGTTTTACATCGGGGTTTGTATTTTACCTGATAGATGGAATATCCCCAATGCATTTGGATGCTATGGCCACAGGCATTATCCATTGTTACTAAAGGATGACAACAAGGAATTATGTACTAGACAACCCGTGACCCGTTGGGTCACCCAGTATTCAGAGGTTATGAAGAATTCAAACTAATTTCAATCTTGCACCGAAATGAAGGTTTATTTTGAGATAATTTAATTAAATAGTACAATCCATTCATGTTATTCACAATTCAAGAAAATATATTTGATTGTTGATCCGGAGTAAAAGTAAAAACCATTTCATTTTTCAAAAAAGTGAAGTTTTAAGGTATTGTGATGAATTAGTTCATTATGTTGTGGTCTTTCCTCTTAAACCTTCTACAAATAAGAAACAGTAACACTTTATTTTCTTCGAATTACCTACTATAACAAAGGCACATTATTGAGAAATTATTCAAGATATTGTTTTTGTCATCTTATGCCTTTTAATGAAGATGGGAACATTGACAGGGAAATAGATTTGAACGAA